AGGTGGAGTGTACTGCATCAATTCACCTTCCATTTGTGTGTTGATGTGGCATTTATATTACATAGGAGTAATTTTTTTTCTGAATTTTTTTCTTGTATCACCAGTGCACCTATTCCATTCTTCCATCGCTGTGCTCCTGTGAACATTTCCTGCTATACCAAGTTTGCAGAAGCCCTGATCACCTTTGTCAGTGACAGTAGTGTCTTGCACAGGCTGATTAGTGGAGTAATGACCTGCAAAGAGATTATATTGGGACTTTGCTTGTTATCACTAGGTAATTTTTTTTCATTCTTAGCTATTTCTATAGTATTGAACAATTTCTATCCCCACAATATGAAAATGACGCATGCTCATTATTAACTCGTACAGTATAGGAATCTATTCCAAAAAATGTTTCTTATCCATCTTCTGACTTAAATGCTTTTTAAAACATTTGTGTGCATTGATTCTCCTTATATTTAAGTAGTGTGGAGATTTTAACCGATGAAAACTGAATTATTTGAAGGCAGAACGTTGCATTTTCATTGTGGTAGCTAAAGAAATCTAGCTATATAGATACATTTATTGCTATATACAGCTATATAGCTATATAGCTTACTTAGCAATAAAGAACCATACATAAATTGCTCTAGGCTCATCAGATAAATACAAATTAAAAGATTAATCCTTTACCCTAAAGTAAATCTCAGGATTGCCACTACTTTAATGCAAATGCCCAAATACTACTGTATGCAATAAAGGGAACCTGACTTCATTTGGTAAAAATTACCATTCATTGTTAAGAAAGAAACCTTGGCTTTTATATAGAATAACTCAGCTAACCAAATAGTAAATAAATAAGCAGGCAAGCAGGTTTTTGTTTTTCCAATTGAAGTATTCTTTCACTTAAAATGAATTGAATTGATGAATTTAGATGAGAATGAATAAGTGGAAGGAAGCAATATATCCTTGGACACTTTTCACAGGTCCCAAATTGGCCTCTTTGCAGGGATGCTTTGAAGGATCTAAAGAAAGTTGTTGCAATGAAACAATGTAACAAAATGAAAGAATTAGCCAAATGCAGATAAGAATACATAATAGACTGCATCCAAACCTGAATATTATCTGTCTGCGCATTCTGGCATGATTATAGTTTGATAAGGACTCCATAATGAAAGCAATGCAGGCTTATTTGTCTATATTGACATTATTTTGTTCTTTTATTGGCAACAGTCAAGAATTCCCACAGCTATAAAACATTACATCTCCCTAAAGTTCATATTTTATTTCAAATGTTTAAGGGAAAAGATTTGGTATAGTTTTAATTAGAATTAGTGTGCATAATATTGTTGAACTAATTAGCCAATCTTTCCAACACGTAGTTTAAAAGAGTGCAGTCCTAATTAAAAATTCTTAACTCTGTATAGACTTGATTGTTAATAAATATGATAATAAGAGAGAACTGTCCTTGGTATGGTCTTACATTGAGCCAATAGTTTTGAATGAACAATATTCATTAAATATTCCTTATAATACATAACACACACACACACACACACACACATACATCAGATGATAATAAGATTTAGGGTTATTTGCAATAACTGAAAATCCATAACTTTTTCAAGCCATTCATTTTGGGATAATGATAAAACACGTAGCAGTGTGATAATTACATTTTTTTCATCAACATAGTGGATTGAAAAATACTTTTTAATCACTTGAAAGCCTTTACCTCTCTGGATATTTATGTCACAGTCAATGGGAAATGAATATCCTCAAACTTGATGAATATTGATAATTTCAGCTAAAGTTAGCAAATGAGCAAAAGTGCATAAGTTAATCTTCACAGTATCAGTGTTTGCTTAAGTATATTAAAGATCACATTTAAGAAACAGTTCACCTATGCGTTCCTCAGTTTGCTGATAGTATTACATATTCATTATGCTGCAATTTATGTTTATGTATTTATGTGTACTTGGATGCACATTCGTACATAATTTAATAGAATTCATTACTTCTGATGTTAATTACATTAAAAGTAGTATCCCTACCCCAATGATACATGCAGTTCAGAAGGAGTTGCAGCTTTCCATGCTCCTCTAAGCCACCATATCTGTTGTTGGTATTTTAGATATGTTTCAGTATGAAACAAAATACCACAAACAATATAGTGAAAAGGCAAGACTTTCACATTCCAAACAAAGCACTAGATATATGTAAGAGTTAGCTAAATAAATTACCTGATCAAACTGAAGCATAAAATAGTACGTGGTTCTTCTCACTGTTTTACATCCTTATTCATCCTTGACATGATGTTAAGCATGTGTGTCTGCATGCAACTTTTTGGGTTTTGCTCATCATGAGTTGTATGATGCTTTTGCAACTCATGATAATAAATGTGCTCTTCTATCATGTCATTTAATCTTTTGTTGTATGTGCCTGCATCTCTTTATATATTATAGGTGTGTATATATAAACACTGGTACTTAATCTGTATATAGGCTTGTTTTATTTAATTTACAACTGGAAAGCTGAATAGAGTAGCTTAACTTGCACAATGTTGTACAGAAAACTTAAGGATAAATGCAAAAAAAAATCACTAATTTTAAATTATATTACTGCAGCCATTATTTTTGGCTGTTTGTGGCTTGAATAATTAACCTGTTTATTCTATTTTGTTTCTCTGCAGTGCTTTCCATGATTTTGATGGTGATAATCAGATATATTTCAAGAGTACTTGTCTGGATCTTAACAATTGTTGTTGTTTTGGGCTCACTTGGTAAGCAAATAAAAGTGTCCTGTCTCCTCAGATTGCATATGTGTGCCTTTTTCTCACATGTTTAAAACTGTTTCTTTTTTTTGCTGCAGAACCATTTTGCTATTGTTTCATCAGTTTTTTCAAGACCATTCTCTCTGCTTTATGATAATTGAAATAATCAGAAAAAGCCTCCACTTGCATGCTTTCTTTATCATGTGATCCTGGCAATAAAGTAACGAAAGGGATAATTGTTCAAATATTAGTTTAAAGGCCATATGTAATGGCCAGCACAATGAAGAAGATAATTGGTGTTGTTTTATTGGAAAGAAACCCTGGAACTGCTTAACTACCATCTGAAAAGCAGAATAGGCTTTTTTAAATTAGTCTTAGATACAGGATATTTCCAGATAGCATTAAGAACAAGTTTAGGCATTACATTTGCCAGAAGAACCTATCCTCAAAACCAGTTTACCTTTTGCACTGCAAACCTTAGGAGTTAAAATAATTATTTCATGAGTTTCACCACAGTCTACATCGATGTTATTTATTGACAAGAATGGAGCAACTTCTAAACAGTGACTTGGGCCCTGGGATGAGAAACATCTCTAGTTGTTCCTTCAACCCTATCCATTTATACTACATTGGAAGAAAGGAAAAAAATATTTCGAAACAATAAAATATATGTTCTTACCTTCTTCACATGCCACCACCAAATCACTGCCTGTCTCCCAAGCCATTTTTATATGCCAGAAGATTTGGGGGTAGAAAATACTTGGTAGCAGTTACAAGTCAAACTAGATTTTGTGAGGATAGCTCAGTATACATGGTGGGTTGTTCTAAAATATGGAAATATGTGTATTGCAAGAGAAAAAGTGATTTTCAAGTACCAAAATACATTTGTTGGTATTTACAATTTACATATCCATGAATGTGAGCCCATGTCATCAGATCTATAGAATACTGTCCTTAGTTGGAAGATAGTCTCCATACATTTGAAAGGGGGAAGAGAAAACAAGACCAAACATAGATTATAAATTATATTAAAGCTTTAATACATGCATGCAAATTAAGCAGTGCAATTGATAGAAATAGTAATTGATACCCAAAATTGCAAACAGTATTTTATGTCTTATCTGATGGACCTCACATTGTGGTTTAAAGAAAATAATGGTTATTTCCATGTTTCATATCAGTACATATGTAATTGTTTAGAAATAACCAATTGTTTAGAAAGGACTATAAAGAAATGGAGTCCACTTCAGAAAACATCAATAAAAGTGAATGGGTGTCACTAAAAGGGCTTTTTGCTTAGAAACTCTAACACAATTTGTTCTTGATTAGACTATGCATAATCTTCACTATCTTATTATTTGTCTCTGATACATTTCATGATAACTGGGCTTCCAGTTAAAATTGGGATAGACATTTCAGTCCTGTTTGTTATGTATTGTTCTAATCTGTTAGACTTTAAAACTAAAAGCATGTCATTTTGGAGATTATAATGAGCTGTCAATATGTTGTTCCAATTTTCCTAAATATTACAAAGCCTATTTTCTTGTTGACAATTAGAAATAAAGTGCTTAAAAATGGTGGCCAAAGAAAAATTATGTATCAAATCAGATTCTAAAATTAGAGCATTTGTGAACTGACATTTTACTGCTTAGTAAATTGGCAGTTGCTTTAGCTGTTGCATATGATCCAACTAACCCATCTGCTGAAAACGTACAATTCAGATGAATGAATATTTTTATTATGGTCACTGACCAAAATTTCAAACAAACAGAGAAAAATGAAGTAAAAATAAAACAAGATAAAATATTACAATGGATGGTGGATACATCTGAGGATAAAAGTTTGCCTAATTTTGTAGGCATTATAATATAATTTAACTGTTCAAAGAGACCGAATCCTATTGATCTGATAACAAAAACTATACATAAAAATTTCCCAAGTATTTTATCAGATAAGGAGTTATAAGGTAGGTTGTTGAGTGCTTATACAGTATACAGGCGAAGTAGAAAGCCTACACACCCCTGATAAAATGCCAGGTTTTTGAGATGTAAAAGGGAAAAAAAATCAGACCAAGATAAATCACTTCAGAATTCTCTCTACCTTTACTATAACATAAATTATCTGATCTCCCTTCCTTCCGCCGCGCCCTCAAGACATGGTTGTTCCAGCTTGCGGGACTGGCCTAAAGGGATTTTAAAGGGGTTTTAATTACTTTTAATCAGATTAGATTTAAATATTTCTTTTTAATTAATTTTAAAGGTGTATTGTATTTTTGTATTTTACCTAATTGTTAGCCGCCCTGAGTCCGCAAGGAGAAGGGTGGGATATAAATGTAATTAAATAAATAAATAAATAAATATAAGCTGTATAATTCAGTTGAAAAACAAACTGAAATCTTTTAGGGGGAAAAATAACATTAAAACGCACAATAGCATGGTTACATAAGTGTGCCTATCCTTAAAGTACTACTTTATTAAAGCGCATTTTGATTTTATGACAGCATTCAGTCTTTTAGGGTAAAAGCCTATCAATATGGCGCATCTTGTCTTGGAAATCTTTGCCCACTTTTCCTTGCAAAAGCACTCCAAATCTGTCAGACATGTTAATGTTTTTGTAAGATAGTCCTGAACCATATTAATTTATAATTGCCCTCAGTAATGGAAGAACCCAAATCTGTGGGGGGAAAACTATAACTTCAACCATTGTGTTATGATATACAGTAGGTGTATGAATCTATTTTGATTAGATAGCTTTGTCTCCCTCCTTAATACTGTATTTGGAATACAAGGGGCTGCGTGGAATATAGCCCTTAGGAATTTAAATTGGATTCACTTAAGGGGAGTAAAGGAAGTGTAAATAATAATAATAATAATTTAATTTGTATACCGCCCTTCTCCCGCAGGACTCAGGGCGGTGCACAGCATATTAAAACAAGTACAAGTACAAAATACAAAAAATGCAAAAAATATAAACCCCTATAAAACCAAATTAAAAACCAAATATTAGAAGCTGTATTTCTATTAAAAATTGTTCTTAAAATCATCCCTAAATAAAATCCTCCCTAGGTCAGGCCCGCTTGCTGGAAAAGCCATGTCTTGAGGGCACGGCGGAAAGTAAGGAGATCCGGAATCGTCCGGATCTCGGGGGGTAGTTCGTTCCAGAGGGTGGGGGCACCCACAGAGAAGGCCCTCCCCCTGGGGGTCGCCAGCCGACATTGTTTGGCCGACGG